AATGCAATCTCATTTACTCTCCACGGTAGCTTTGTGTGGTTTATACTATCCCCATTTTACAGATGGGATACAAAGCTCAGCTCAGTTTACTCAGGCAGAAAAGAACAAAGGGCATGTGAACCCAGTTGATCTAATTTTTCCAAGTTTCTCTCTAGCCTGGGCCTGACAAAGAATCAGGCCTAATACATCCTCTGCCTGCAAAATAGCTAAAAGTTCCAGCCAAAGTGACCTGGCTTCTGTAAAGTCTGTTCTGTGCGATCCCACAGCTCCACATTCCTCAAACAATCCCTTGTTTACCAGCCTCTCCGCCCTTTCATTTCTACACCTTGCAGAGAAGCCTACATTCTCATGAGTCAGGACTTCTCTGCTGAGCTGTGTCTCAGTGATACATAATCCTCCCAGGTAGGTATGGGGAGGAGCCTATTCTGTCTCCAATATGAACATTTCTGGAACGGACCTATTCAAACTTCTACCAACTACAGACATTCAGTCATAAAGTCAGTGAAATAGTATAATCTTTTTTTTTTTTTTCCTCTTGAGACAGGGTCTCGCTCTATTGCCCAGGCTGGAGTACAGTGATGTGATCTTGACTCACTGCAACCTCTGCCTCCCAGGCTGAAGCCATCCTCCCACCTCAGCCTACAAAGCAGCCTGGACCACAGCCACTCACCACCATACCCGGCTAATTTTCATGTTTTTTTTTTTTTTGTAGATGGTGTTTCCCTGTGTTCCCCAGGCTGGTTTAAACTCCTGAGCTAGAGCAATCCGCCTGCCTTGGCCTCCCAAAATGCTGGGATTACAGGCATGAGCTGTATAATCTTAATTATACAATTATACAGTGATTTTGGCAAGTATCTATGATGTAGTAATTTTTCAATCACTCAAAACTTGATGCTGGCCAGGCGTGGTGGCTCACACCTGTAATCCCAGCACTTTGTGAGGCCAAGGCGGGAAAATCACTTGAACTCAAGAGCCTGGCCAACATGGTGAAATCTGTCTCTACAAAAACAAAAACAAAAACAAAAACAAAAATTATCTGGGTGTGGTGGCACACAACTGTAGTCTGAGCTACTTGGGAGGCTGAGGTGGGAGAATCACAGAGCCCAGGGAGGTCAAGACTGCAGTGAGCCATAATCATGCACTGCAGGCTGGGGGACAGAGTGAGACTCTGCTTTAAAATTTTAATCCCAAAACCAAAAAACAAACTGGCTGCTACTACCTGCATATTCTAGTATTTGGAGTCTGAAAAAAACTGGGATCAGCAGAGTCAGCAAAAACGGGTGTAGACAAGAGTTTCCCAACCTCATTTGAGGCTGGATGATTCTTTGTTGTGGTAAGCTGTCATGTGCATTGTAGGACATTGATCAGCATCCCTGGCTTCACTCACTACATGCCAGTAGCTTTGTGACAACCAAAAACATCTCTAGACATTGTCAGATGTCCCCTGGTGAGGCAAAATCATCCCTAGTTAAGAACCACTGATAACATCTGATCCTGCAGGTCTCATCTATAGAAAGCGTAAATGAAGTCACCATCTTCCTTTCCTCCTTCAGGGAACCTGTCCTTCCTCAATCCCACGCCCTTGGGAACCATGTCACAGAGCTGATGCCACTTGGCTTGGGAAGTGGGCTAGAAGTGAGGGGGAGAAAAGGAGCAGGTGGAATAGAGGCAGCAAGAAAAGACAATGGAAAAGCTTTTAGAAATAAGAAAGGTTTATTTAGCAAAAGCCACTAGACTAGTGACAACATCCAGGGAGTAAGTGCACTTACATTAACAGAATCTTTTCCCAGAGAGTTGATCCAACAGAGTTAATGACACAACAGTTTTAGGGAGTAGAGGGCTAGCAGGTAGAGGGTTAGGAGGAAGCAGTCAAGCAAAGAGTAAATAAAAGGAATACAACTCCTAAACAAGATCAGTTGAGAGAAACGAGGCTAGGAAGAGGTTTTACAGAGAGAGCATTGATATAAGCAGGAATATAAGGAATATAATTTTAAATCCCATATACAGTTCATCCAGTGCGGAGAAATTCTTTCCTGGCTCCATAACTGTGGGAGCCTCCTGTGTACGAGAGTCTGCTGGCACCTGGAGCAGGCTGGGACAGGCACCAATAAGGTCAGCACCCCTGGTGTCCATTTGTCCTCCATATAGGGCAGAGTAGAAGGATGAAAAAGAGGAAGGCAGAGTCGAGTTAGCAGAGCAAGAAGCAAGGAGGGAGGAGGACAGGGTGACATCATTGGGAAATCAGGTCTGCCACGTTCCCTTTCCTGCCCAGTCGGCCCTGATGGAGGGTCGGTGGCTGGTGATCCTTCAAGGCTCCTAGTTCTGTCTTTTGTCTCCCATCTCCACACACTAAGAGTGCACTGATTTAGGTCACACTAGGGAGGATGCCAATACACAAACTAGTCCTCCAGGGAGGGCCTGAACTGGGGAAAAGACGGGGCCCAGGCACGAAGAAACCACCATGGAACACCCCAAGGGCAAGAGTCTTGAATGGGTCCCAAAGTCAGCAACACAGATAACTGGTTTCTCCAATTCTTTAATCTCTCCATTTCCTTTCTTCTATCCCATCTCAAGCTTTTATAGCCCATTTAGAAACTACCTTCCTCACCCTCCCTGTCCACATCCCATACAAGCCTTCTCCACCTACATTCCACACACCTAATCCATTGGCCTCTGGCTTTATCCTCAGCTCCTGCTTGCGTCCAGAAAACAGACTTTTCACTCCTCTGGATGTTCAAAATCTTAATAACCTAAACGGTCTCAGACCCAAGGAACCCTGGGTTAGATTTCATAAGCTAGGTAGGCTCAGCCACACTGGATTCCTGACAGCTGCTCATTTAGTTTCGTGGATCTCACTTTCCTAGTTCTTCCTTCTCCATGTACCTGCACCTATTTCCAACGGCAAATTAGATCAAAACGAAACAAACAGAACCATGCCTCCCCAACTAAATGCACGTTAGAAAACACAAATCTGTTGTTGATTCAAATACCCTGGAGATCCCCACTCTTTTCTGTCTGGTCACAATCCTACGTATATGTATACGCCTTTCTTCACACATGGATATATAAACGTAAGTGTGTATACAAACACACACACACGCACACACACACACACACACACACCACCCTATCCTATTTCTGCTGACACCCTGATGCACCAAGGAGGGCTAACATAAAACTGCATTTATTTCCTTTAATTTGGACTTTCTGGGCTACAAGAAATCCAACTGGGGCCACTAGGAGAGGGCTGCACTTTTATTTATGTAAATTCTAGAGCAAAGCTAGGGTCGATGAACTCCATTTTGGGGCAATCATATCCTTACTGACTGACCCTCCGGTAATACTGCAGTTTGCATCTGTAGCTTGTTGTCTAGGATAACGACTTAATTCCCTGAACATATGACTCTAGAAGGTCTCAGCAATCTCTTCAGGCATTTGAAAATCTGTTAACAGCCACTTCTGGCCTTACGGGAACAAAGGAGCTTTTCCTCAATGCCCCAGCCAGCCTGTTAAGGAGTGGTGATCCCTAGGCAACGCCTAGATCGTAAAAGAGAAGACGACTGCACATGGCACTTTTGACAGGTGTGCTCAAGGCACGCACCCAGAGAGATGGGCCAGGGGTGACACGGCTGTGGTCCCTGACCCAAGTGGCAGTGATTCTGAAGAGTGGACAAACACAGTCTCACAGTCTCAGCTAACAGCCTGCATTCACTTTTTTTTTTCCTTTTTTTTTTTCTTTCTTTCTTTCTTTTTTTTTTTTTTTTGCAGTAAAAACTAACCACCACTGCCCAGTGGAGGAGACAGGTTGAGAGGTAAGGCTGGGGGCTCTGGTCCTCTGGGGCTTTCAGAGAGGTAAAGTGCTGCAAAAGCTTCCGCTGGACAGGACACAGGGGAGGTGAGGGGCACTTCCCAGCCTCCATTTAGATGGGCTGGGCTACAGGCAGGAGGTGGGCAGGGCAGCACTTTCAAAACAAGAATCAGATCTAAGTGACTGGGAGCAGCAAACAAGCTATCCTCCCCCTGGGCTCTCACCCCAAGGGCCTGAACCATGTTAAAGCTTCAAGGCTTCCTTTGAAGCAACATTCATTGTCCGGCTGGAGAAAATGTTGGATTCAGTTCCTCTAAAAGCTTATCCGCTGTGACACATTCCAAATCCATGCTCACACTACAAGGACTAGCCTGGCTTTTGCAGCCCAGAGCACTCAATCTCTACAACCTCAGCAAGGGCCTGGAGAAGGAATTCCTCTCATAAAGGTCGGGGAAGGGTTAGGCAACTCACAGCATCCTGATATCCAGAAACAAAGTACCTGAGAAGGTACGCATGGCTTCCCTTCATGGTCGGGACCATGGAGACGGGGAGAGTGAGGGGGTACGGGGACATCGCGGACAAAGCGGGGGAGCCTGAGGATGTAGCAGGTAGGGACAGGTCCTCCAGCAGCCTGGCGGTCCTGGAGAGAGACCCTCTCCTGAAGCCATGCGCTCTGGAAGGCCCTGCCCCCACCACCCTCTAGTCACAAGTAGAAGAGGAGCTGATTCACCTCTGAGAATCCGATTTTTTTCCCCCACTTTATCCTCCAAAGCAGAATCGCAAATCCTTTCCTGAAACCTGACACTCTCTCGGGCCCTGGCTGGCATTCTCCTCAGCAGCGCACATTCGCTGGGCATCCCCTACCCGGGCAGCAGCCAGACATGGCCCCTCCAGCCACGCCGCCGCCTCCATCTCCTGGCCCCTGGCACCTACACGGCGATCTCATCGTCCAGGCCGTCGCCCAGCTCCTGCCTCTGCAGGACATTCAGCAGGCGCGGCAGCTCCTCCTGGGACCACGAGTCGCGCTCCTCGCTCTCGTCCGTGTTGGACTCGTACTCCGAGGCGATGCCTGACTCTCGGAACTTGATGAGCTCCAGCCCGCCCAGGAGCGCCTCGCCCTGCACCGGGGGCGGGGTGTCCTCGGGCGGGAGAAAGCGAAAGCACTCCAGCTTAACCAAGCAGTCGCGCCTACCTAAGGGGCTGCCCGCAGGGTGGGCAAAGTCAGCCAAGCCTGCGCCCAGCGGCGGCGAGTGCAGGTCCTCCGGCTTAGGGGTTGTGGGGTCACAAAGCACAGGCAGAGCTCCGGAGCGGAAGGTGATCTCCAGCAAGCTGTCCTGGGAGCCCACTGCATGGGAGACAAGAGACAGAAGAGGGGCCACGTTAGACAAGATTGTTGATTTGGGATGCCTGCCTTCTGACAGCCGTGCCTCTGCAAAAGCCCTTCCCAGACCAGCTTAGCAGCACCTTCCCGAGGACGAGGACGGGGAAGGGGGGGTTGCATCTCTCAACACTTCACCCCTCCCTCCCGCCCCCACATGGCTCCAGACACCCTTGCTGGAGGGGAGGAGCTTTGGGACGTGGTAAAGGCGGCGACATGAGAACCACTTGATGGTTCTGGGAGCCACTGAAGGGTCTGAGTAGGGTTGTGGTAGGAAAAAGGTACCAACTGAGAGAACCATGTTAGAAGCCTATGGTAACCTTTAACACAATCATGTAAAAAAAAAACAAACAAAAAAAAAAAAACAAGAAAAAAAAAAACAAGAAAAAAACAAACAAAAAAAACCCATTAGTTAGGATAGAGCAGAGTCTCAATGAACAACCTGGAAAATCCAGAGAGGCTTCCAGTGTGGTGAAGGGCACTGGTTTCTAATCCACACTTTTGGGCTACTTTAAAACTACAGACTCCCAGACCTGCCCCAGGCCCAACGATGCAGAATTTCTGTAGATTGGACCCAGTAATAAGCATTTTTTAAAAGCTCATAGGATAGTTTGGGGGGAACCACTGGTATAGTTGGAACACAGTTTTGCAGTCAGATCTAGGTTTGAATCTTGGCTCTGCTCCTTGACCTTGCTCCTGTAACCTTAAGCTAGTTACTTAACCTCTTCTGTAAAATGGCATGCCATTTTTCTGCAGCAGAACTACAGGGGTTAAGTGAGCTCACATGCAAAAAATTTTATCTCAGTTTCTGGCACAATAGGTGATCAATGGGTATTTGCTGGTCCACAGTCCATACACACTGTGAGCATGCATACAACCCATGGATAAACTCAAGCGGAAGGTGTGAAAATGTGTTGCAATCTACAGCTGTCTGGTCCAGCCCAGGGGTGCTGAGGGTACAGACAGCCTCTCAAGCAGGGGCCAAGCAGAGCTGTGCAACCAGTGACTCCACTGCCTTATCCACTGAACAGATATACTGCTCCCAGCTTTTTCTGTGTGAGAGTCTAAAAATACATAGTGCAGAGTAGTAAACTAATAAACAATTAGTTGCTTCCCACAGAGCTCACAGAGACCATGATACCTGATAGGTGCTGAGTATATTGTATTTTGCAAAAGCTCTCTGAGAAAGAAATGGGCTGCCCTAGGACATACAGTACTGGAGCCCCTATCAAGTAGAGACTGGATGAGCACATAGCAATGACTCCGAGTACATTCAAAGTCAAGCCCTGGGCCTGGGTTGGAAGGCACCCAAGATCTCCTTTGGGAATGTGATTCTTTAATTCATTAAGTGTACTAACAGGGAAACAAAGCTGCCTATGTTTTCTGCTGGAATATAGGGGCAGGTCAGGGGTCCAAGAAATCACCACCAAAAACTTGAGGAAAGTAACACTTTCCAGAGCCTTCCCAGAGGAAGTGAGGCTGGGCAGGGTACTGGCTTACTGGCATTCTGTCCTGAAAGCTTCAGCTCCAGCTCCTGCACCTGCTTGACCAGCAGGGAGATGTGCTGGAGCATGTCCTTGTTCTGCAGCAGGAGCTGGTGCACGCGAGCCTGGGCCTCCAGCCGTGCCGCAGCCTCAGCAGCCAACTGGTCCTTCAGCAAGTGTACCTGCAGAGAAGAGGCAGCGGCAGAGAAGACAGGACAGAGAGAAGAGAGGGACATGAATGCGCATGAGAGTCGCTGGCAGACGGCCAGGACCAGAGATGCCCTCCACATCCAGTTCAAGAAGAAGCCCTTCACAGGTAGAATGGGCATCTGGGCTTATCATTCCAGAGGAGAAGGAGCTGAAAGGAGTGGGTTCACTGGCCCTGTGAAGCTGTGTGTCCCAAGGGACGACCATGATGCATCACTAAGGTACCACTCCGGGTCCCACACCAAGGGCAAGAGGCAGGAAAGAGCCATTGACCTGCTATCCACCGCCACACCCACACGTGCGCATGCACACACACATACGCATGGTGCTCCATCCCTGCTTAGAGAACTCCTTCAGCACCCAGCATGGCATGCCATGTTGGAGGTGGAATGGGGCACTCTTTTCTCATCCTGTCTTTTAAAAAACAAAACCAAAACTGATATATTGACCCACTGGCTAAGAACAGTGTCACAGCGAAGCCCATATAATCTGTCTTCCTCCCGCACTGGCCCAAACATAGTGAGAAACAGGAAGCACTACACATGGCTTTTTAAATTAGTGAGGCGGCTATCATCAAGCCACTCTGTAGGCAGCAGCTTCTTTCCCTGTCTTCCTTTTTTATTTGCCATGGCAGACGCCTAGGACTACGATTCATACCATGTACTACTAGGACCACCTGGTAGGGGTCAAACATTTGCTGACTGACTCATGAGAGGGCCTCCTCCAACCAGCCCAGAAGGGCTGAGGTGAATAGTCTGTGGCACCCTCATCAATTTCCAACCTCATCATGGCAGAGCAGCTGGCAGCAGTGCACTTCAGCCTGCGTGAGGCCTAGTGGTGTCAACAGCTCTGTTCTTGGTGAGCAATCTTTATGTGGAGATAAAACTCAGTGGGAGGAGATGGGGGCAACCAGAGCAGGACCTGGTTTGAAGAAACTGATTTAGAAGGCCAGTATCAGTGTTCACACGTATGTGATGAATAAAGGGTTCTCCAGGGAGGGCTTTGGAAGGGCCCTGAAGAAAGGGAACTAATGAATTTGATGGCCTGGACCAAGGTAGCTTATAGGGAAAAGGGTGCTCTTGTACCAAAACCATGGTGTGGGTAAAGACAGAGCCAGGTGACTAGGGGCAGAAGAGGTGGGATGAGGTTGCAGGAAGATGGATGGGGAGTTCGGAAGCATTAGCTGATTCTCTTGCTCAGAAAACAAATGATCAAATTTCTGAAGAGGAGTTTGCTCCAAAGAGATTCACATTTTTTTAGGGAGTAAAGGACAATTCTAGCCACCCTTGGTCAAGTAACCTGCTGGCCCAGGGTGTGCCCCCATCCCTCACACCCCAGCAACCAGCACTCAGAGAATTACACTTGTGGGTACAGTGGCTGCCTCCCTGTTGCCTAGATCGGAGGTCCTGACCTTGCCGTTGACCCTGTTTCTAATTGAATGGAATCACAGAGGGGATAAGGCCTAAGGAATTTAAAGTAAATCTTTCCTCCATAAAGCTGCTAAGGACAGAACTGATATTTGGTCAAGAAGTCAGCCTCATTTTTTGTCTCCTATTAACTGAGAAAAAATCTAGGGAAGGGTCAGAACAGGTGTGATCCAGGGAAATACGTGTTTGGTCCTCATCCCCATTTCCAGACATACAGCTCCCCAAACCTTTGAGATCTCCAGTTGTAAGAGTGTTCTTTTGTATGCTTATTAGATGATTAGTGGCTGGGGAACCCCTGGAAGCCTCAGGATTTGGGGGGTGATCACAGGAAAGACCAAGGTATGATTAGAGGGTTGGGAGTTTTCAGTCTCAGGCCCCAACCTCCAGGAGGGAAGAGGGGCTAACATTTAAACTCATCACCAGTAGCCAATGATGTAACCAATCCTGCCTACATAATAAAGCTTCCATTAAAAACTCAGAAGGACTGAGTTTGGGGAGCTACCAGGCAGCTGAACATTTGGAGGTTCCTGGAGGGTGGGACACCTGGGGAGGGCATGGAAGCTTTGCACCCCTTTCCATATACCCTGCCCTAGGCATCTCTTCCATCTGGTGTTCACTGGTATCCCTTATGATATCCTTTAAAATAAACCAGTAAGCCGGGCGCAGTGGCTCAAGCCTGTAATCCCAGCACTTTGGGAGGCCGAGGCGGGTGGATCACGAGGTCAAGAGATTGAGACCATCCTGGTCAACATGGTGAAACCCCGCCTCTACTAAAAATACAAAACATCAGCTGGGCGTGGTGGCGCGTGCCTGTAATCCCAGCTACTCAGGAGGCTGAGGCAGGAGAATTGCCTGAACCCAGGAGGCGGAGGTTGCAGTGAGCCGAGATTGCGCCATTGCACTCCAGCCTGGGTAACAAGAGCGAAACTCCATCTCAAACAAACAAACAAACAAACAAACAAAACAACAACAACAACAACAACAACAAAACAAAAACAGTAAATGCAGGTGTTTCCCTGAGTTCTATGAGTTGCTCTAGCAAATTCGTTGAATCCAAGGAGAGGGCAATAGGAATACCAATTTACAGCCAATTGGTCAGAGGTGTAGGTGACAAACTATGACTTGTGATTGGTGTCCGAAGTGGAGGAAAGGCTTGTGGGACTGAGCCCTCCAACTGTGGGATCTGATGCTGTCTCCAGGTAGATAGTATCAGAATCAAACTAAGTGAGAGGACACTGGGTGTCGTCTGCAGAACTGCTTGCCTGCTTGTTTGGTGTGTGGGAAAAAGCTCCATACATTTGGGTCATAGAAGTATGTTGTGACAGTATAGTAGGAAGAAACTGCATTTGTTTCTTCCTATACCCACTGAACAGGGAAAGAAATGTCAATAATATTTTAATTTGGATGACAGATGGTGGGTGGCTATTAAGGTTTTCTCCTCCTTGGAAACAGGGGCATGGAGAAATTTCATCTGGGGGTCCCCCAAATCTATTTGGTTCTGAGAAACAGGACAGCTGCTGTGAGACACCCACAGATAAGCCTCAGAGAAGGGTTAGCTTAACCTTGCACGATCCCAACCGCTACTTATCCCAACAAAGAGTGTCACCGAGAGGAACCCACTGAGCAAATAAAATTGCTAAATTATTCATCTTCCATTTTCTTCCATCCTTCTAAACCAACCAGAGAGAAATGTGGACGATACAAACAAAGAAAACAGAGAATCCTGAATACCAGTAACTGGCACTTATAGAGGGCTCCCTGCACATGTGCTGCAGAGTCAGTTTCTGTTTTGTTTTGTTTTGTTCTGTTTTGTTTTTTTAGACTCACTCTGTCACCCAGGCTGGAGTGCAGTGGTGTGATCTTGGCTCACTGCAACCCCAGTCTCCTGGATTCAAGCAATTCGCCTGCCTCATCCTCCCAAATAGCTGGAATTATGGGCATCTGCCACTAAGTCTGGCTAATTTTTGTATTTTTAGTAGAGACAGGATTTCCCCATGTTGGCTGGGCTGGTCTCGAACTCCTGACCTCAAGTGATCCACTGCCTTGGCCTTCCAAGGTGCTAGGATTACAGGCATGAGCCACCGTGCCCGGCCGAGTCAGTTCCCTGCAACCCACTCTGAACATCCCAGCAGGACAGGCCATTTGAATGCATCAGACCAGGAGCTGGAGTGCTTGTCTGTTGGCTTCTCCCTAGTAATTATAGACAACTCACTTCTCTCTGGACCTGAGTTTCTCCATCTGTCAACTGAGAGAACTGGCTTGAGGCTCAGATAGTTTGAAAATTACACATCCAGGTTGACATCATGACCAGTACTAGAGGTGACTTGTTAATGGCTCATTGAAAAAAATCCTCAGTTCCCCATTGTGAAGTCAGAGAATTAGCATTGAAGGTAAAGGAAGAGTTTCCTCTTACAGAAGCAAGGAAAAAACAAAGTTGAAAGCTTGGTTTGTGGGTACCCAAGTTGCAATGGTGGAGTGCCAACAACACCTAAAAGAAGATCCTTGAATCAAATGCCTCCCATCGCAAATCCACGGGCACTAAGTGCCATGAGAAAACGCTGCTTGTACCAGATTAAATGAGTTTTACCTCTGTAAACCCAGTCATACCACTTCAGGGATTTTCAAGCCCTGTGAATGTGTGAGTGCTCGCTGCTGCCACTGCCTGAGCCAGCACTAATGAGCCCTCTGCTTCTGCAGCTGTCAAAAGTGGTATTGGACATAAAGCTCAAACCTCATGCTGTGGCAGGCTGTGCTGCAGGAGAGCCCAAACCAGGACACACTGAGACAAAACGGCCTGGACTTCTTTTAACTTTGAGGTGCAGCATTTTCTAACTATGTGGGCTTGAACTTGAAGCCCTGAGATGAGGCAGCATTATTTGCAGCCTTGGTTTGGGCAGTCTGCTACAGCCTTCTGTGCTTTGTTTCCCCATTCAAACAACGGGAGCAGACAGCACCACCTCCTCCCCGCCAGATGGGATATTTATTTGTATTTAGCATACTTTTCTTAAAAAGAATTAAACCCCTTTCGTGAAAGTAGACCACATTTTTTTCTGGAAAGATACAAATCATCACCCCCATTGTCTTTGGCAATGAATGGTCTGCACTATGGCCTCAGCATGACACATACGTTCAGCCCTGCACCCTCCAGCTCTAAACTGCTTCCCCAGACTCTGAAACCCACCCTCAACCCACCCAGCCACGCAAGATCACTGGCCCCCTCACTCTCCAGCTTACTTGCCTGGACTCCAGCTCCTCCATCAGAAGTGAGGGCAGGGCCAGGCTGAAGTTAGGGAGTAGCAGGCACATGGAAATGGCAGTGGAGAGAACCAGAGCAATTTGCCCCCCCACACACTGGACACAGAAGCAGAGGCAGGCACCGCTGTCTCACATGCACACGGCAGGGACTTGGGCAGTGCACGCGAGGGTGCTGGGGACTGAGAGAAGCCACGAGGACAGATGCTAAATAGAGGGCCTGGAGTGGGGATGCGGAGTTTTGTTAGCGCCGTTCCTCTAACTACAGCATACATGACTGCGAAGCATAAATAACAAATTCCTTGTTCCTGAACAAGCAGAAGTGGCAGCAGGTAGAGCAGAAATCTTTAAATAGCAATACTGAACTATTGAACAAGGCCGGGCATTGGCAAACTGTGAACAGACCTGGCCTACTTAACTCTTGCCAATCAGCCACAGCGCCCAGATCAGTTCTGAGACTATGTCGGCCCAGCCCATGGCCATGCAGCTGCCAGCTACATCCCAGCTTTGATTCAAGGCTTAGCTATACTCTTTCACACCCTTGAACTTCTGGTCCACCTAAAAGCAGGAAGCTAGTGCAGCCAGGCAAGACTCATGCTGGGTCGGGAGAGTGGTCAGACGGACTTGGGTATTCACTATTTACACATTGAGGTCTAACCTGGAAATACTTAAGAGCTGGTTAATTACCACCTTTGCCCATATACCTTTAAGGCCAGGGTGAGCCCCTTCCAGACCAGCTCAGAACCAATTTAGGGTGAGGCTGGGAGAGTTCTTGAGGTCTTAGGCCAAATCAAGACATTGTGAAGGAGACCTAAGCCTGGTCCCCATGGCAACAGCATAACTAGACTGGCCTGTGGGAAGAAACTGGGGGTGGGGGAGACATAAATAGTGCAACAAGTGACCTCAAGGGCACGCCTGTCTGCAAGAAACTGTCTTTATCCTTTGATTTTTATCCAGGAACAACATAGGAGGATTTGGATGCTCTCTGAGAAAAGGAAACTATTCCTACCTGAAAGGCTGAGGTCAGTTTTACTCATTGGAATTCTGGGGACTGCTGGTAGTTTAATAAAGAAAGACAGAAGCTTTGCAGTTTGGTGGCAATAGAGTCTGACAGAACAAGTAAGAGCTAACCTCATCCTGGAAACTGAAATCAGCCCCATCCATGCAGAGAAACCAAGCTTGCTATATTTGGTCTATTTCAAATGTGTGAAAGATGCCAAGGAGACCCACCTATCAATCCAGCTACATCTTACATAATTGCTTTTACTTAAGGATATAGACACAAATAAAAAGCCCTTGGATTAAGCACTACAAAGAAAGTGGAAGAAAGAGCAGTGTGCAGAGAAGCCTCTAACTGAAGGTCAGTTTAGAACTGAATCCATCTATAGGACAGGGGAGCTGAAAGCCAGCTGAGAGGTACAATATCCCTGCTGTGCTCCTGGACAGCAAAAGCAAGATGCGAACAGAAAGAAGGTGGTCAGAGGCGGATGGGGATGGCAGATAGAGGTACAGGAGTATTTTCAAGAACCTATCAGATGGCCTCAAGGTCCTGTCCTATCTGGCGATTTTGGAAGTCTATGACTCTCCCTAAAGTCATCTCACCAATGTGGGACACAGATGCACCATGGTGGCTTTTTGATCACGACACTGCTTGTATTGAGAGTCAAGCAGGGCAACTATATTCAACAGATTCCAAGTGAGTGAGAGGCTAAGGGTGCCCAGCCTGTGGACATGTCTACAACTGAGAGAAGTTCATGAAGCAAATCTCAAATACCACACTCCTTTCTTCCCCAAGATTCACTGTCTTCTAAGAGAGACACAATTAAAACAGGGTCAGGGAAGGATGTCCCATGGAGACTAACACTTGATTCTATACCAGAAAACCACTCTTAGGTTTCATCCTGACTGTGCTAGACCTGTGATAAGTTATATGCCTTGTTGCTTTGCAGACTGAATGCTTCCTTCCACTGCCACAATACTCTTGTTGTGTGGATTACACATTTGCAAACAGCTTCTCTCTAGTACTTAGCAGTGACTTCAAAATCAAATGCCTCCCTGATAAAATCATATCATGAATATGCATCAAGCCCATTCTTTGATAAATAATAATTACTTGCCAATTGATACACTGCAAGATAAAAGTATTATGATCTGTATTCAATGGGAAACTTGTGGAAATGAAATGAGTCTGGGAATGGACCCGTGCTGGAGTGCTTAGTCTTTGTGCTCCTGTCAGCCATCCCGCTAGGGAGGGGATTCTCAAACGACCATGCCGTCATTAACTACAGGAGATGGATTCTTTTATTCAACAAAGAGAAATCATTTTTTTCCTCCAAATATGAGAAGTCATTAATGACATTCCCTCCTCTCTGTTGCTGTTTTGGGAACACCTGCAAATCATTCTAGCATCACCAGACATCCTTTTTTTCATGGTAAGACTTTTTAAAAAGATTCCAGTAACTTGAGAGCTGTGTCCATGGATTCTACTCTTTTGAAATCTGGCTCCAAAAGTCATCCATGAGGCTTGCGTCTCAGGCCCAGGTCAATGGAGACCATGTTACAATAAGGACTTTTTCAAAACCTGAGTTGTAGCAGATCCTGTTATGGTCAGGCAGGTGGATGCCTCCTCAAAGTGAAAAGGTAGAAAGGACAGCCCTGTTTAGATTATTCACTCCATTCAAGAGCCAGGAGAAGAGTAAGCAGAAGATAGAACAGAGAGCAGTAAGTGCTCCCTGGAGAAGTCTGCTCCTCGCCATTCTAGAATGCAGAAAACCTAAGTGGTCAACAGTCTGATCAAGCAAATTTGAAATACTGATGCAGAGCTGCCTTTCCAGATCCTTCCCCAATTCTCCAAACCCCAACTGCCCCTCTCCTAAGATCTTCATGCACTTATCAGGCCCTGATCCTGTCTCTTGCCTCAGGATTCAGCCTGTAGTATGAATGAATGTTTTCACCATTCCCTGACTGCCTGTGGTAGAAAGGAAGCTCAGACTCATAAGTGCCAAGAAAGATGTGGACTACAGAACCCTCTACAGAAAGCAAACAGGAGAAATCCCTGCTGAAAGCAGCAAGGAAAGTCAGCTCACCCTCCTCTACAATGTAGCAGCAGCCCAACAAGTTTTTTGGGGCACAAACACCACCTTGATTCTAAGATCTAAGTCAAGTCTTTTCCTTATGGCTCTAATAATATACCTAAGTTCCTGCAAGTTAAATCCCATGGTCATGAATTCCAACCAAATATTACCTGGAATAAGTAGATCAGAATGGAGGCTGGGAAACTTGTTATAGACACAGAGACTGGGATGCCAGGGTAGTCGTCTTTTTACAACGGTGTTTGGCACAAATTCATACTTTAAGCTGTTTTAAGAGTGGTCTCATAAACCCACAACTTTCCTGACTCTGAAGGCATCCCTTCCCATCCCAAACATCAGGAAAATCGGGCAGGAAAGGGAGGGTGGAACGGTGCGCATCTTTTCCCTTGGTCAGTTCAAGTCATTAAACAACAATGTTCAGCCAAGCCAGCCAAGCCCAGCTCAGAGCGGGGGATACACGGGAAACCAAAATGTGCCTCTTCATTTGAACTGCATCCCCCATCTCTCCCCCTCCCGCTGCCCCCACTCCCCAACAAGCAATGATCCAATAGCATGAGCGATTCCTTCTAACTCCCTAGATTTTAAACCTGCCCTGAGCCCCTTGCTAGGGAAGGTGCATCAAGCCCATGAGAGTGGAGCCTGCGAAGTAGGGAGGAGGCTGAGGAGAACCTGGGCCACAGCCACTTGCGTCTGCTGCTGCTGCTGCTGGAGGAGCTGCTGGAGGAGCTGCATCTGGTGGTGAGTGGACAGTGGTGTCCCTGTGCCCAGGCCTGGAGGCTTCGAGGAAGAAGAGGGGAGCAGCATCCTGGGTGAGGCTGTCAGCATGGGCTCCTGGGGGTGCGAAGCCTGCAGGGGAGGGAGAAGACAGGACGTGACACGTGGCAGGAGCCATCTTGAGGGCCCTCCCTCTCTTTGGCATGCACTTGGGAGGAGCAAACTGACGCACTTAAAACCCATAAGCTGACAGTGCTGCATCTTCAATGGAAATGGGAGTAAGGGTCCAGGAAGGAAATGGTGTAGCTGCCTGGGCTGATACCACACAGTCAGAAAATCATATGGGGACACCTCAGTAAATGACCCTGCACGATGGGAGACTGATGGCTGATACTGCTCCATGCCCACCACTTCCAGTGATGCCCTGTCATTGAGTTCCTTGAGGTTCTAGACTTAGAAGAATCTATTTTAGTCAAACATAGCTTCCATCCATGCTAGCATGACAACTCCCTCGTTAGAATTTTGGAGTTGGGTCCCGGAGGAAGGGGCCATGTGAAGGAGCTACTTCCTGCCCTCCACTGCCTCTGGTGAGAACCATCAGCAAAGAAGATGGGATACTAAAATAAATAATGATCTGGAGAAATCCGGTTAGATGAAAGCCGTTCCTATCTCCTTCCCTCCTTCTGTCTCCCTCTCCTGTGGGCATTTTTACCAAGATGGCTTCTACAGTTCATAGAACTCAAAGACAGGGAGAGACATTTTATTTTCTGTCAGTTCTGCTGTGAGGCCTTCTTCAGGCATACAAAAGGAAGGTCCCCAGGAACACAGGGTTATTTCCACCTGTAGAGGACACACTGGGTCCAAAGGAAACATCAGGCAGACAGTGTAGAACTGAACTGCCCTCCAGACCTCCATGTGAGATAAGATATGAATGACGAAGAAAGAGAGGAGATGTGATATAGTGAACTGCCAGGGAATCTAAGGGTAGAGCTATTGGTCAGTAATTTTGCTTCTGGGTTTAAAACATTTTTAATTAGGTTTGGTTCCAGGTTGGAATTTGGTCTCAAGTTCTTAGTGTCTTAATTGGATCACATTAGGAAACCCCATAGGCCACAGTCATCTCACCTATACATTGTTACACTGGAGCTGATGATGACTAAGGTGTTCTCTCAGTTTTTAACATCTAGTAGGCCAATTTCCAGACTCTGTGGTGCTATCTACAGGAATTACCAAAGGTATACCACTGCTACTGCAGGCAGAGGGGGGGCCAAACTGACTTTGCTCTATTAGATTTAAGCCACAGGGGAGTCTCTCTCTCTGTGTGTGTGTGTGTGTGTGTGTGTGTGTGTGTATGTGTGTGTGTGTGTATGGCAGAGTGAGTCTTGCAAAATACTGTGCAAAGATGAGATGCTGTTAAGGGAAGAAGGTACCAGGGAGTATGAGATCAAATACCGGTGGGATTCTGGGAGGGTGATGTGTGTCAGGAACCAGCTCCACGGCATCGTGGCCTGTAGCAGCGCCCAGCGTCCAGACCCTCTGGAAGTCAGACCCTCTGAAAAGCAGTGAAGCATGCTCTGGCACCACCACTGTGCTGTGAAATGCCTCACTTGGAAGCTGAGCTGGCAGGGGCTAGGAAGTGACTGACAACCTGAGGACACATGTGTGCAGGTCACTCCGAGGGGCCATCTCTTGCCTACCTTGGAGCCTGTGTGGGAGCCTCCTTCCTTCCCTACGGCATCTAGATCAGTCACCCCTCGGCTGAATTCCAGGGCGTCGTTCCCTGGGAGTGGGACCTCCACCGCGTCGATGTCCGTCTCCTCCGCAGTGGCCGGGGAGGCCCTCTCGGCTCCGGTGAGCTGGCGGCCTGCAGGGACAACGCGGGAGGGAGGAAAGAGAATGGACACACTGAGAACAAAGTCCTCCTCCCCTAACACTTTAGCTTTCAGGCATGTCGAGCCCAGGGACGCCTGTGGCTGTGTAACATTTCACACATCTTTTCACTCAAGTACATTAAAGGGCATTTCCAGCCCCATAAGGTGTTCCCATCTTCGTATGTATTCAAAGTGCAGAAACAAAAGCAATACTTCCTCAAGCCTGGATATGACAGTTTTGCCAGGTCCAAAGGCATATATTGACAGGGTGTGGGGACACTGGGAGAAGGGAGTGCTGGTCATCTCCATCTCATCGCAGCTCACGAACGGAAGCAGCCAGGGGAAAGAGCCCTGGCTCGGGGATCCAGAGATGAGGCAGTTGGGCCTCTAATGAACTGCTGGAGAAGCAGCAAATCACCTCTCTCTCTCTGGGCCCTGTTTCTTCAGCTAAGGAATTAGATGCTCAGTTAGATGGACAGGTAGGGTTCCATGACTGAGGAATAAGGCAGGGAGATGAGAAGTCATATTTTAACACAGCATCCATCTCTCAGCCCTCAGAGTCTGCTCCTCTCACCAAGAGCAGAAGCCAGGAAGAGGCCTGCAGGAGGTGGCACGGGGAGCAGGGGAAGGATGGGGTGGCTTCTTTTCCATGCTTCCTTATCTAATTTTTCTCCTTCCCACATTTCTTTCCTTTCCACTGAAGACAATGGCCATGTCTTTATTTAACCACACGCACAGCATACTGCTTAATACCAATGTTAAGAAAGGCCTGCTATTTCTTACTTATCTTCCTTCCCTGATCCTATTTCTTGGATTCTATAAAAATATCTGACAACTCCTGGGCATTTCGTGGGAAATATTTTCATTGTCTATATTTGCAATTAGGTTAATTACTGCCATCTTTAAATAAGATTTCTCATGAGTCTTCAGAGACCACGTACCAATTGTTAAATGGACCAGGTGGAGGTACAGCAGGAGACGCAGAGCTGATGCCCAGTGCTGAAGCCAGCCCAGGCACCCAGGCCTCGGTCATTTGAGTGCTTACTTTGTAGAACAAATTGTTCTAGGAAGTTTCCTTAAGGGAAACAAGCCTGGCATTTAGAAAGTAAACAGTGAGCTTGGTTTTCTTCCTGGCTACTCCAGAAGCTGAGGAGACAGTCCTGTGGAGGGCTGCAAAGGTGTTTAACAGAGAAGATGGTTCTGACTGTGGCCAGTGGGGACAGGGAGGGGAAGCTCTTCTGCCTGTTGGTCAGCCAGTAGGTGGGAGCACAGGGAGCAGCCTGCTCTCTACCACACCCTGCACCTGGAAGGGGTTTAGCCTGAGAGATAGAGGGTTGGTAGTTGGGAGGTGCTGGGAACTGAGTGTCTGGTTCTCCATGCCTGTACAGGAAAGAGCAGGATGAAATTTCCATCAGTGATCAGGAGGAGCTGGGCTCCTGCAGTGCTCTGTGCACTTAGCACATGATATTGGATGTGCCTGGCCATCAATCTTCCCTTATAGACTTGAGGCCAGGCTGTGTCTCATACATGTTTCCTAAAAATGTTTCTCTGGCAGAGAAAGTGTTCCATAAATACTGACAAAGGAAGTAGTGTAGTGACAGGGTAGCAAAACAGGAGAACAGGCTGCAGGCTTATCTACTTCCCATCCCTGGAGAGACTAATAATGAGGACTAAGAAGCCCCAGACACAGAGCGTTTGGAAAGGGCCTCGCCAGAAGCCCAGGTGAAATTAGAAAATCTCTCAGGTTTGGCAGGGCATGGTGGCTCAAACCTATAATCCCAGCACTTTGGGAGGCCAAGGCGGGTGGATCACAAGGTCAAGAGATGGAGACCATCCTGGCCAACATGGTGAAACTCCGTCTCTACTAAAAATTAAAAAATTAGCTGGGTGTGGCGGTGGGTGCCTGTAATCCCAGCTACTCAGGAGGCTGAGGCAGGAGAATCGCTGGAACTCAGGAGTCAGAGGTTGCAGTTAGCCGAGATTGTGCCACTGCCCTCCAGCCTTGGCGACAGAGCAAAACTCCATCTCAAAAAAAAAAGAAAATATCTCAGCTTCTTGCTATTTTAGGCGGACTTATAAAAACATAAAGTATTCAGCTATTTTGTTTGTATGAGCAGAGTTCCCAAACTAACGCTGAAGTAATTCAACGACAAACCCTAGGACTGCTTTCTAAGAGACCTCCTGCCACCCAGTGGGGGTCTCGATGATCACAGGTGGAGTCCTGCCACTTTATTACAGCTAATGGGCACAGATCAGTATACTATCCACATTGGTTAGAACTGGGAAGGGTAGAGCTGGGATAGACAGGACATGCTGGATGGAGGGCTGTAATCATTATGTGTGTTATAGCATATCACGTTAGGACAGGACCTGGTGGGAGGGACCCACAGCAAATGGCCTTCTTTTGGTCCTATCAAATAAATGAGGAAATCTGTGTGTTTCGTGTCTCTCCTGGTGTTCCAGGACCTGGGGAAATAGCCCTATTGGTGGTTGGCATGGAAATGACATGGAAAACTTCTGGCATCTCCAGAAAACTTATGGGAAGAGGCATTCCAGTTTCCAAACTGTAATAGAGGGAAATAAGACCAAGAGTGGGGGTAGGAGGTACTACTTTCTGAACTATCTCTTTGAACTATTTCTATCTGATACATTACATAGTAACTAGAAGCCATCAGATACATGGATATTTCATTCACTTATTCAATAAGCATTTATTATGATAGAAATCTATGAGACACTGAGCCTAAACACAAACAAGCATAATCTGAGTTTTCGATGCTTCTCCAGCCTGATGGAGGAAACAGACATGAACCACGGCTGCAGCCTGAGGTCATAAGCATCACCTAGGAGGGGGCTATCCAAGGTGCAGGATACCAGGAGAGGCGCATCTCACTTGGGTCAGGGTGAAAGGAGCCCATTCAGAGGAGCAAATGCCACCTGCAGAAGAAGTACCAGCTCAGACAGGTGGGAAAGTAGGCAGGTGCAGGCCAGGTGAGGGCCATGGAAGGCATTCTAGGCAGAGGGCAAGACAGGAGCAGAGGCACAGAGGCAGGAAGTCCACGGCATGTCAGGCACTGC